TCCCTTCAAACCTTGGATTCTATGAAACTCAGGATCTTGACCAACATCTTTTGCCTCATCCCTCAACACTCCTTGCACTGTCCTTCCCACTCGGACGTCCCTTGCAGGGTCCCATTGTCCCCATGCTTTTGCCTGCAATATCACAGGCTGGCCGGTCCCCACTCCCTCCCGCGAAGTGCATTCCTACACTCACTGCAGGCCTCAGCTCAGGCACCACTTGCCTAGGAAATTTTCCTCCCCTTTTCCTCTCCTCCGACTTACAGGCTTAAGTAGATTCAAGCCTTCATTTACTTCATCAGCATGTCTTCACTGACTGTTGACTCTTTGCTAGGCAATGGCACATACTAGGTACTTGAATGTGTGAAATAAATTTGAATGTGAATAAATGAAAAAATAGCAATGAGTTAAAAAAAAAAGTCCCTGCTTTCACAAAAGTGAGAATTCTCACAAAAATATAAGTAGCATGGCTCTATAACAGACTTAACACTTTTTAACATTATTTTAAGTATATCTCCCACATTTTACAGTGAATTTCTTAAGGACAGAATTTTGTCTTCTTCATTTATATATCTTCAGTATCTAGCATACAGTAAGCACTCAATAAAGCATCTGTCCTAAGAGGAAGAAAATTATTTCACATGTATGTCTATAAACTCTAGAACATTTCCGTAACTATCCCCTTAAGTAAGTAAAGAGGGGCTTCTTTTCAAATTTAAATTTAAAAAGACAATACCACATAATTCTGCGGTGATAAGAAACAACTAATGTTAAAACAGCCAAATGAGAGAAAAAGAAGTCAATCAAATTTTAATTGACATTTTAAAAAGAAATCAAATGTATTTGCAAAGTCAAAAAAAATGCAGCTCCCTGTTCTGTGATTAAAAATATATATATATATATAATGACACAGCAAATATTAGATTGATCTGTATGAGATCTTAAAACATCACACAATATGTAACTTTACAGGTTTCCTCTTATTTAGTCTTCACTCTTAGGAGCAGGTGCTTTCCTGCTCCTACGCAGCACAGCTTTCATGTGGATTTAATTAACATTTTGTGTGCATAAAATTATCAGTGAACTGCCTCCCCAAACATTTCGGGGTGAAATCAGCTGATTGAAATACTGGTACCGCTCACTGAAAGGTAGAATGGGCAGCTGGGATACCCTTCCTGTATCTAGAGCAGAACTTGACGCCTTCTCCAGCTAAAGCAATTCTTCTAACGGGGAAAATTTCGATCTGATCCTATTTTGAAACTTCAACAACAGGGCCACCATGACTTTGCCCTTCAAAGAGCTTTAAGAAAGCCAGCATCTACAACTGTGGGAAGAAAAGCCTGGGTTCACGTCTAAGAAGACAGAAATCCAAATGTCAACTGCTAGTGGGCGGAGGAAGATGAGGGGGGAGAGAGGAGTTCGTTTTATTTCACAGCACCAACACCACATCAGTGCTGTGTGTGTTTTTCTCTAGTTCTCCAGAAAGACAGCTTTCCAATTCCTTCAAATGTGTGAAACCTAACCTTTACTTTCTCACAGGCTGCAGCATTTGAGTTCTAAATAAAGAAGAACAAATCAATGTTTGGCCCTCACTCAGGGCCCCACATATTAGGGTTGAGAATGCAGCAATGGGAGCCCAGCACTAGCAGCAGAGCAATGCTAACGTTCCCGGGTGACTCTGACAGGGATCACAGTTCGGAGGATGCCTGCTTCCCCAGCTCAGGATCTTGAAAGTGAGGGACAATGGCAGGCTTGAAGTTCCACGCCACTCATTTTACAAGGTGGTGGGATTCAGAATCTGGAAACCTGGATGGTACTCAGCGATTAAAAGTAATGTAGTTAATAATAAGGAATGGAATAATACATGTTAGAATTAAATTGTCCACCTAAACCATTTTGAACAAAAAAATATGTGCGATATTGCTTACATCTTTAGTAATTCATTCCTAACTTTTAATTGTGGTAAAATACACAAAAGATTTACCATCTTAACCATTTTTGAAGTGTATAGTTGAAGAATATAATGCGCATTCTCATTGTTGTGCAATCAATCTCCAGAATTTTCTTCATCTTGCAAAACTGAAATGCCATACCCATTAAAAAGCTCTCCATTTCTCCCTCCCCGCCAGCACCAGCAACCACCCTTCCACTTACTATCTCTATAGATCTCATTACTCTAAGTCTAGACACTTTATGTAAGTAGAGTCACACTGTATTTGTTATTTTTTTATTGCTGGCGTATTTCACTTAGCACAATGACCTCAAGGTTCACCCATGTTGCATGATGTGTCAGAATTTCCTTCCTTTTTAAGGCTGAATAACATTCCACTGTCTGTATAGACCATGGTTTTGTTTATCCATCTACAGTACACTTGGGTTGCTTCCACTTTGTAGCTATTGTGAATAATGCTGCCATAAACGTGGGCATACAAATATCTTCTTGAGTCACTCTTTTAATTCTTTTGGATAAACAGCCATGAGTGGGATTGTTGAAACACATGGTAATTCTATTTTTAATTTTTTGAAAAACTGCCATACTGTTTTCCACAGTGGCTGTGCCATTTTATATTGCCACAACATCCTTGACAATCTTGTTGTTGTTTTTTATAATGGCCATCCTCGTGGATATGAGCTGGATCCTTGGTAATTTTATATCCCCAAGTTTTCTAAAATATCCCTGTATTATTTTAATAATCAAAGAAAAATCCAGTTAAATACATTCAACCACTAAAAGTGACTACACATATATATACTTATTAGTATAGAAAGAATTTACCATATAGTCTAATTTTTTTAAATGAAAGTTATTGTAAGAGTTATACAAGACTAAGTTTATTATCACCTATGTTTGTGTGTATACATATACCCATATTAATATATATGTTTTATACAGAATTAGTATAAAAAGAAATATAAAAACAATAAACCAGAAACTTAACAGTAACTATCTCTGGATAGTGGAAATTTAAGTGGGTTAATATTTTTGTATTTATTTTCTGATCTTTACTCACTAAATATGAATGCCTTCTATAATAATGAGTAGTAACAACAAGAGGATAATTTGGTAAAACAGTTAGGCAGCTACCTTGCTGTGGTCAAGAACTGTCACTCAGATGTCTGAGAACACTCAAGCCAGGACAGGATCCTCTGACTCAGTGACGATCCTATTGTATAAATTCTACTTTTATTCCCTAAGGGCTTTGAGGCTTTATTTGGCTAATATTATAATAGATGCTGAAATTCAGGAGTTGAGAGCATGGCAATTTGCCATCTGTAGTCTGCATCCCCAGAATCACAAAGACGAGACCTAACAAAACAGAACAGATAAGGCCAGTTTCTTATGCTTAATGTGCTAAAATATATGTGTGCAATACACAAGATTTGCAAGTTACAAAGAGAAAAATGGGTTGAAGATAGCTATTCCAACCAAGCTTACAATATATTACATAGTATTTTAAGTTACTGTTAAATAAGAAAGTCTTATTTTTTTGGTGAAAACTTTTTATGCTTTGTCATATGCATACATGTATGTTTAATGTGTTCTTAAATCCCAATCTTGCTTATCTCCCTGAACTAAAAGAACATAACAATATGTCCAAATTTAGGCACAAAAAAAGTAGAGAAAGGAGTGCTTCAAAGACAAGGGAAAAATACAGAGCCACAAAGAAAAAGGCCAACAAAGGATTCCTCTACCTGCTAGAAACAAGAAGCTGGATCCCAGGCTTCCTTCCGCATCAGCACTATTAACCCTCTCCACTCCATTCCTGGCCCTCAAATTGGGAGGCTGTGACATTAGTGAAGATGGCTCTCAGGAGTACAGCAGATATAATCAATGATCTAATTACTCAACACTTACTGCCTTTAATTCTGAAATCATCCCCCTGGCTCTCCTTCCGCATGTCTTGGCCTCAGTTCCAATCAACATGTGTGCCCTTCATGATGGCTACCAGCCAGACCCTTGACATTTCTTTCTTAATCCATCACCTCTGTTCCAGCTTCACATCTACCCATTCAGCCTGGATCCTGGATGAGTCACTGAAGCAATGGATTCATTACATACTAACTTCCTTTAATTGATTCTACTGGTATACAGTCAAAGGTTAGCCTCCCAAAGAAAGGACAGAGAGAAAGAATAAGAGAACAGAAACTGGCCCTTTTCTTAAAAGTTTCAACAATTCCCAATTACCTGCTAAACTAAGGACACTGAGCAGTCACAAGTTTGATTCCTGGTCAGGGCGGTGTGGTTGCAGACTTGATCTGAAATAGGGGGCATGCAGGAGGCAGCCAATTGATATTTCTCTCTCACTCATCAAAGTTTCTCTTTCTCTCTCCCTCTTCCATCCTCTCTAAAATCAATTAAAACATTTTTTTAAACTGTTTAGAGGGAAACACACCCAATGCAAGGAGTAATTGCATTATAATGACAAATTGATGAATGCCTTTTACATTTTCTTCTATTAATAATCATTTTAGACATGTTTATATCATATTTTCTTTAAATTAAAAAAAAAGTGTTTTAATTATTTCTTTTGGTTTCTCAAAGCCCTTGCACAATGTTTCCCCCTTTCTAAAGCCCAGAAAGTGACTGATCCAACCTTCTTCACCTTTGCTGGAGATTTCCCAGACTAACATCTGGCAGTCGTCAGAAGCATGGAAACAAGTGAGACTGTTTACCCTAGAGATTGCCAATACAATAAAATTAAAAGTGAGGAAGGAGGGACACACACACAAACACACAAACATGCAAAATATCCCTTCAGGCAACATGCACGTACCTATGTCTCTGTGTTGACTTTATTTCAATAATTCTGAAGTTATCTGTCTTTTTAAGTCCTTCCTGATTAATCTCGGCAAATTGTCAACTACTTGTAAAAGGCAAAAATCAAGGAAATCTAAGCAAAGAGAACATAAATTTTATCAACTCTAAAAGTTGATGTAGCTTTCCCCAAACATCAGAGGTTTCCTTGTAGACAAGACATTTCCACTATTTGTTTCCTGCTCACCAGGTGTTTTGCCTTCGAGCGGTCCTCCTCACTCGATATCCTCTCTCGGAGAATAGCTCTGGTTAACTGCTCATTGGCAAGAGCCCTCTCTCGTTCCAGTTCTTTGCTTTGCTTTAGTCTGAAAAGACAAGAAAGGTCTAAATTAGAAAGAAAACATTCACTAGTTGACATTGTTTTTTAATGAAATACTTAAATAAAAAGAGAAACAGCTGAATCATCTTGACAACAGTTTATCAAAAGCAGGTATATTTTCTAGTAAATCCCCATGCAGCCCTTTCCCGAGCATTTAAAATAACAGAATTAAGTACATGGAGTTTACCAGTGTGATTGCTAAGCTAGTTTTTACAAAGTTCTTCTTAGGTAAATCTGAAATCTGGCCGCCTAAAAATTCCCTGATGCCACCATATGCCCTCCAGGGACATCTACACTAATAAAAGAGAAAGATGCAAATTGACTGTGCCTTCGCTAAGCCCACCAGGCCAATCAATAGTGAATATGCAAATTAACCCAACAAATATGGTGGGTTAATTTGCATACACAGGCACTGAGGGATGGAGGGTGGAGGGGAGGAACGCAGGCTTTCCACACCGACCCTGCAACTCCATGCCTCTGGGCAGTGTAGGAAGATGGAAAGGTAGTTCTGGACTGGAGGGAAGGCCGAAAGGTGGCTCCAGGCCAGAGCAAAGGCAGTGCCAGCAGCCAGGGGGATGAAAGCCCATTCTTGCACGAATCTTTGTGCATTGGACATCTAGTAAGTAATAAATCTAATTAACAAGCATCTACAAGACCAATATTTGAAGGTGGCCATCTCTTCCCCTCAAAACTGACTGAAATCAACTGTTTTGAATACATAGCAGACACTGTAGGAGACACTGATGACACGGTGCTGAACAAGGTGAACAGGTCGCAGTCCTCATGAATCTTATATTACCGCAGGGAACTAAAATCACAATTAAGATGTCTTCCTGGCCCAGCACGAGTGACTCAGTGGTTGAGCATCTACCTATAAACCAGGAGGTCACGGTTCAAATCCCAGTCAGGGCACATGCCTGGGTTGTGGGCTTGATCCCAATGGGGGCATGCAGGAAGTAGCTGATCAATGATTCTTTCTCATCATTATTAATGTGTCTATCTCTCTCCCCCTCTCCCTCCCTCTCTGAAATCATTAAAAATATATTATTTTTTAAAAAGATATCTTCCCACCCAGTGAATTACTCCTATTTTCCAACAACCTTCATATGCAAAACTGGCCAGACCTTTTAATCACCTCTGGGACCACTCCTATTTGTCCCTTAGCACTACACCAAATGTAACACTGTAGATACAGTCTAGCAAAATAAAACAGCAGAACTGTAACTCCCAAATCCTGCACACAATGCTAATTGTATTAATAAAGCATCTTATTGCGTTAGGTTTATCAGAAACCTCATCACACAATTAGGTCATGCTAACTCACCACCCACTAAAACCCCTCATTGTGCACGAAAAAGATAAATTGCTTTGGCACCAATGCTCACCGTAGAGCCTGACACTGAAAGGTAGTCAGATAATTGAGTGTACATTTCAGTTTAATTTCATGGACAAAGATTCTCTGATTGCCTTTTCTTCTTGGAGAGAATAACCACTCTATACCATCATATTCCCAAAGGTTTAAGCCATGCTTTGAAAAGAAAAGGTACAATTGTTATATTGGTATAAGTGAAATTCTCAGTGAAACCTACTTTATAAGCAAAAATGAGGAATAACAAATGGAACTCAGTATTAATCTATCAAATTTAAATTTTCATAAATTCTTAAGCCCTGGTTGGTATGGCTCATTAGGTTGGAGTATCCTCCTGTGAACCAAAAGGTCATGGTTTGATTCCCAGTCAGGACACATGCCTGGGTTGTGAGTTCGATCCCCAGTCTTGGGGATGTAAGAAAGGCAGTCAGTCAATGTTTCTCTCCCTCCCTCTCTCTCTCTCTCTTTCTCTTTCTCCCCCCTCTTCTCTTTCTCTATCTACAACCAGTGAACATAACCTAGGGTGAGGACCAGAGAAAGGAAGGAAGGGAGGGAGGGAGAGAGAGAGGGGGAGAGGGCGGGTGGGAGCAGGAAGGAGGGAAGAATTCTTGAAAAGAGCAAAAGAAAACAGTTTGTGTTGCTATTTTTAAATTGCTATGTCATCCTGATACACTATAATTCTCAGAAATCAATTATAACAGATAGAATCATCCTGTAAAATATATTTCAAAGTTATAATGCTTTCCTCCCCCTAAAAATTAAACCTGTGTGCTTTTGTGTTCTTGAATAAAGATGAACAGAAACAAATTAAAACCAGCACTTTGAAATTGTATAATGCAAAAGCAACTGCTTTTCTTAAGCAATAAAGAGCAATTATACTTATAACCAAATTTCTCTATATCGTATCAAAATAAATTTCACAATAAGAACAGCAACATCATGATTGCACAGGTTAACTCAGTGGGCATGTATGATTGTAAGGGAACAGCCATAATGAGAAGTCATGTCACTCCTGGAGTGGCAGTTCTAAAAGGACTGTCCACAAATCAGCACAGCAGCCCCTGGGAGAATACCAAGCAAATCCTCAGACACGCCCCACCCCTCCTGGGATCAGAAACTCGGGTGGACAGAAAACTGTCTTGCAGGAAGCCTGCCAGGTGATTCTGATGCATACTCAAGTTCGTGGGCCTCAATTACCAAAATGTACTTGTATCCAAATAAACCCTGGAGATACACAAAAGGAGAGCGACCTCAAAAATGAAGAGTATGAATGCTGAGTTTTCTGAATCAGGTTACCATCCTGTGCTGTTAGAGTATTTTAAAAGCATATCACCTGAAAGTAAAAATTATTACCTATTTTACAAGTGGAAACAAAAATACTAAAAATTACTATAATTTATGGATCACCTACTATATGGCAAGCACTGTGCTCACAAGGCACTTTAGATACATATGGAAGACTACACTATTAACATTACATTATAAAATGAATTCTACACACTAGACTTTTCTCATGTCTACCATATTTGGTATATCACATTTTTTAAAAGTTTATTTTAATAATAAATACATGGTTTTTTTCTGCATTTACTTGCCTATGGCATAAATTTTAATTACACAAGGAGTTAAAAGTGGCTGAACTTTAAGAAAATCATTAAGTTTTGGCAAGTTAATGAAATAAAAGCAAAAAACTTGAGCACAAAAGCCTTTACTGTAATAATAAAAAAAATATATAGGTTATTCAGTTTGCAATACTTAATACTTGGCCCAGATGCACAAACTCTGGACACTGACTCCTGGGTCCAAATCAAGGCTCGACCACTTACTAGCTGAGTAAGTACTTGGCGAACCTCCCTGGGTCCTGTTATTCTCAGGAGTAAAATGGATGGTATAATCCCTACCTTACCGGGATTATATACTCAAAGCACTTAGCACAATGCCTGTAACAGAATAAGCAATCAACATGATAGGTAAGTAGCAGCAATAATACCCACTATGGGGTCAGAAATACAGAGAAAGCAGTGATTTTCTGAAAAGCAGAAAAATCTCCTAATTCATCACATATATCTTTGTTTTCTCTATCTTTGTTTTCCAATTTTTCATCAATAAAAAGTTCTATTTTCTTTTTATTATCTTCAAGGGCTTCTAAAATAAAAAATTGGGAATAATGACCTGGCAGCCCCATCTTTTCTTTCTTTGCCCCAAGGGCAAGGAACTGGTCTGCTTTTGTTCACTGCTATATCCTGATGCTTTTTTTTTTTTTTTTTTTTTAATATAGACACTTTTTAATGTTTGGGTTTTGGTTTTTTTTTTTTTTTTTTTTCTTTTCTTTTTTGATTTTTGGTTTTGTTTTGCTTTGTTTTTCAAAGAGAGGAAGGGAGGGGGATAGAGAAATGAAAACATCAATGATAAGAGAGAATCATTGATTGGCTGCCTCTGTTCGCTCCCTACAGGGTATCCAGCCCACAGCCTGGACATATGCCCTGATTGGGAATTGAACTGTGACCTCCTTGTTCATGGGTTGATGCTCCACCACTGGGCCACACAGACCGAGCTATCGCCAATGCTTTTAACAGTCGCTGCCACATGGTAAAGTGTTCAAATACTTTTGAATGTACCCATACAGGAAGAAATGAATGGCATTATTTCCAACCTTAGGGAAAAAAAAGAATGAAAACCAGCTGAAGAAATAGAATTTTAGAAACAACTAGACAAGTTAAACCCTACAGGGCCAAGGACCATGTTTTAATTGTCACCAGTGTGATTTAATCCCAGACTACACTACTACACTAAGTCACTTAAAACAGCAGGATGTTATATTTCAATATAAAAGATATTATATGCCCTATGCTATTATAGCCTCTGGAGTACTATACCTAACTATGCTAGATTCCTGGCTGCAGAGAGCCTGGGAGTGGCACAAATTGACTAAAAAGAAAATTATTTTCCTTTCTTAATTTTTACATTTACCTTCATTTATCCTTATGAACAGGCCTACATCTTTAGGAGTTTAGGAGCAGGTCCCAGAACAAATTCTCATTACTTACCAGCAACATAGCTGTACAATTTCATAAACTTCAGATTTCCCAGCTTTAAAATTTGAAGATTGAACTACTTGATTGAAGATTGAATTACTGGGTCTAGTAATAATTAATGTCGTTTTTAACATTCGTTTAAAACACATGTGTCAAACACAAGGCCCGCGGGCCAAATCCGTCCCGCCAGGCCTTGCAATGTGGCCCGCACCGCGCTGTCATCACTGCACTCCGCTGCGTTTCCATCACAATGACAGTTTATGACTGTTCAGTAAACCATTCGGCCCGCGATTTAGGATGGATTTTAGATTTTGGCCCCTTCTCTGATTGAGTTCGACACCCCTAGTTTAAAATCTTGCGTGGCGTTGACTTGTATTGACATAACCTTCAAACACGTGGTATCTACAGAAAGTGTGAAATGCAATTAACAAGTTTTGCTTGAAAAAGTTTGTGTTTGGTTTGGTTTTTGTTGCAAAACTAGGGCTAAGAAGATGGCGGATGAAGAGCATATTCGGCACTGCATGCTTTACGAGTTCCAATTAGGAAGAAAAGCAAGTGAGGCTGCAAAAAACATCTGTAGTG